TTGTTGTTGCCAGTGACATCCATGATTCACCTGTAATGTGCAGGTACTTTGGTTACACCTTTCCACGAAGGCCCCACATTACAGTGATTTCAACAGCGACCTGGGTTGTTATTTACACATTGTGTGATGTTCATTAATGACTGGACAGAGATTAAAGTTTAATTGTGTACTTTTGATATTTACCGCTGCCATTGTGGTAAAAGTATAGAGTGAGGTCTAATTAACGGAATTGTAAAAAATTACTGAGTAAATCCTGAACTGTAACACGTGACAACCTCTTCAGTGTTGCAGTGATTTTATTTAAAATTGATCAATGTACACTGCCAGTATGTGTACTCAGAGAAAGATGTAAACTCAAAAGTACGCATTTCTTGATAATTTCTGATAAAAGTTATGTTTTTGTTTCATAAATGAAAAAAAAAAAGGTTAATAAATAAAACTATCCCTTTGTATTTGAACTTTGTATCAGCATTTGCTGTGATCGGTGTGGTAACTATGGTCATGAACACAAAAATGTCAATATAACCCACCACAAATGATTCAAAGTTTCTATATATCAAAATTTTTTTGCTAGTCCCTTTAATTTCGAAACATCAAAGTTTGACTGTAACAAATAGTTATAAAGTGTGTACGTAAATGGATCTAAGTCGTGGAAGGACCAAAGTAACAATGGAAAATGTTAAGTAAGCATGCTACTGATAATGAATTGATACAATATCATGCATATTCATTATCGGCATTATCTTGGGTGTCTAATTTCAGCTGAAAATGAACAATCGTTAGTTATATGAGGCATATGAAAGTATTTTCAGTGTGTTTTGCTTTATTCATCATAAGCCAATCACATGAAATCAGGAAAAAAAATGAAGTATGAGTCAATATCTACAAAGTACTGGAAACCTCCCCCTCATTATTGAACCTTTTACCGTATTTATCCTGTAATAAGCCCAGGGGCCAATACATAAACTTCAACTCAAGGACTGGAGAGATGGGCTTATTGAAGTTCTTGCAGGACCTATACTAGCTATCTGGTCATAATCCTTCAAAATCAAAGGTCATGGGGTGCATGAAAGGGTCATCTAGGAACAAAGTCCTGATAATCAGTTGTATAGTTATATCTGGATGTATTCATAAGATGTTGTATTTGAAAACAATTTTGATTTTATTATATCCAAAAACTGATTTTGAAATCTGAAGTAGGTGATCATAATGAAATGGCCCAAATCAAATTGACCTCACAAAATCAGGTCAGTGAGTGATGATAGTCAAGTGTGGGCTTATTATCAGGTATGGGCATACTACAGGATATGTATTGGTAGTGAAGGTAGCAACATATCTACCAGACATTAAGTGATATACTTTGTAAGATCACTTTCTGCAAGTGAAAAAGAAATTTGCTTAACAATGATATCCAGGTTCAACAATGACCTTCATGAATATCATTAACCTTGAAAATGGATGTGAATAGCATTCAAGAGATGATTTCGGTAATGCTTCTACCAAAAAAAAAAAGGAAAACAGCTTGCCAAGAGGCAAGAAAAAAACCGGACACCAATCAAGATACAAAGAACAATAATTAAAGAACAAATTTGCTTGATATAAAGCAGGCAATGATAGTGTTAATGGCAACAATAACTATTGAAGACTCCTGCTGAAAATAGATATCAACACAACATGCAGGAGAGGTATCTCATATAAACAGATGTATATAAGTTACTGAATGACAAGATTAAGGTGCAAACAAAGACATAGTCATCAAGATCCAATGCCCATTTGTAATTTATATCCATTTAAAGTAAGCAACAAAGAAAAGTAAAGTATCGAAATCATTTATTGTTTACGTTCAGTTAAAAGTTCCGTTGAAAAGGATCAATATAATTCCGTTGAAAAGGATCAATATAATAACAACTAAGCAGCATAATACTGTGAATATTAAAACAGCCTACTGTTTTTCCGGGCTATAAACCGCACCAGGGTATGAGTCGCAAGGCTGGTTTTTAGTGATTTTTTGGATTTGATTGACATATAAGACACAACAAAATATAAGCCACACCCTTTCTTACGATGTGGTAACCATTATGTTGACCAAAATGTGATGATATAACAGACAACGGTAGGCAATTTATCAAGATCGTCAGTGAAACATTTAAAACAAGTTTGCAAATGAATTATACACGAAAAATCCTTTATTTAAATTATGTGTTTCAAAAACATGAAATAGTAATTATCAAACTCGTTTGGCTTGGAAGCCTTCAAAGATTGTTTATGCACAGATATAGGCCCCGACATTACGTACGGTTTACTTAACAATATCTCAAACCGTGTCTGTACTGTTAAATGTTGGTGAGGGCCCTGCCATTCTGACAAAATTCCTATAGTCCCATATTATTTCTTGTACATTACACAACACCATTGTGTGCGCAAGTACTTTCTGGAACTGAAAATGGTAAAAAATGCTTCTACTTGCATAATGTGCACACCCACAAGTTCAGTCAAAATCAATCTCCGAGAGCCAAAACATTGATCTCAGAATGTTCAGCTTCCACGTTCAGACCATATTAGAAAGTCCAAAACTTTAAAGCATTCTCTTCTGAATTTTCCTTTCATTTCATTTGCTGACTATTAATTTCTTTCTGTTTAATTATAGGGTAGGAAAAATGCCTAATGTTTGAGTTTTTATTGTTTGTTTTCTCTGACTTAAGACACATTATGCTTTATCACTCACTTATCTATCCAATTAACCAAGATTTATGTATCTTACGTACACAGACTCTCATCTTCACACTAACCTTAATCAACAGTGTTCAGTGTTGAAACTAAGGTACATCATTATCTACCTAATAATGACCAACTCAGGTAATAACCATCTCCACGAGTTTTCTTTCATGTCTTGCTGTCACATGCCACGCCCACTGACCTAAACTGAGGCCCCAACTCTGTATGTGCAAGCAATCAGTATATGGAGCATGCAATGGAATCACACGGAATGTGCATGCATATGAGTGTCCAATGAAGAACGGCGTATCATTATACATTATGGTAAGATAATCACCAATGTTATTCCCTTGTTATTATTAGACGTATAGATATCATTCACCAATAAGACCAAATTTAATAAATATTTAATTAAATCCCTAGTCCAATGATAAGGCTCAATCAACACTCCGCATACTAATATGTCGACGATAACGTCCACCATTACACATAAAAACGGATCATGTGTTCATAACTTCTGGTTCGTCGCAATATCAGATGTGAGTAGAATAAAACGTCAATTTTTTAACGGTTCAACAAATCAGTGTTTCAAAAGTTAATTATATCATAATCAACATATTTTTCAATGTCCCAAACAGGACACTGTCTTTGCAATTCATTTTGTCTTGCTAGTTGCTATCACGTTTACAACCCCGATTTGCATGATACTGACATGGACAGTTGGCATCAATTTATGTAGTAACTATATCATTTACTATTTTTTGTTCATAAATCAATCGTCAAATCCTTTTTGTGTCAGTTTTGTGTACCAGATAATCGATGATGACTGCCTCATAGAATCTTTCTTTCCATGAAAATAACTTGAAAATCCTATAGCTACATAATGTGCGCACCCCCACCCCCTCCCAAAAAAGAAAAAAAAAACACACATTATGTGGGTTTTACCATAGTCAAATCATAACCAGTAATAGTGCAACATCACTTCAAACATTAGATTTCTAAAAACGTTTTTGAGATTCATTATCACATATTTATTAGGGCTTTTAACCAACTGGCCAGTCTGTAAGAGATATGTTTATAGTCTTTTTAATGTCTTTAAGACATGATCTATAGGTGTGCACTGATATGTTATTAAGAAAAATAAAATTCCAATATGGCTGATATGACGTTATATCGTCAAAAGATTAAAACAGTCATAACTGAAGAAGTATTTACTGTGAGGTTTTTCTGAAATGATACTAAGGTGAAAAATGTCCAGGGCTAAATTTCATAATGGACACCTAAAAGGTCAAGTTAAAAACCTCACTATAGGGTCAAAGGTCATCCATTTTTCAACTTGTATTTCACAGCGGTTTTCGAAAAATTCTTTTTGTAGCCGGTAGGGTACTCGTTTCCAATGAAGTCTTCAGTTTGTCATTAACATTTACTGTTAACATGGTATGTCATTTTGAAAATTGAAAAATGGGTCAAGTGTGTATCAAAATTTTAAACGACTTCTTACCAATAACCAAAGGGCCCAGGTTACTGATAAATGTCCTGGACAATGTTAGTATGAAGGGCTACAAAGTTTGTTAATATGGCTGACCTTGACTCAATTTAAAGTGGCCAAGTGAACATTTGAAATAAAACAGGTTGAGTTGACACTTCAAATCATTTCTTCTCAATTACCAACAGGCCAAGGCTACTGATATTTCACCAATAACATGTCAGGACAATGGGCTACTATGTTTCTTAATATAGTTGACTTTGAAGTACTTTCAAGGTTACAGTGGTCAAATGAAAATCATAAAATGTATCAGCCAATCAGGTCAAAGCAGCCTTCAACAAGGGGTTAAGGTAACAAATATACCAAGCTCAGTAGCCTCATTAAATATGCACGGAATTCGCTGTAAATCAAACTGGGCAGGGGATTATGATAACAAGTACACCAACCAAGTTTCTTCAACAGATATCATGTGGAACGCAGCATCAGGATGGATGGAATCCATTTGAATATCCCAAAGTTGGCAGGGGATAATAAGCTTTGCTGGGTCTGAACAGCAGAATCTTTTAGTATAAACTTAATTAAACTAATTAGATTAAACTTAATTTCCAAAACAAAATTGATCTCCTTTTGTATCAACTTTTGATTTCCAAGATAGAAAAGATCATACTGCCATAATTATTGTACTAATTCATGCGACAAAACTCTGGCAAAAACAGAAACTGAAATTGAAGTACTACATTGGACCGACTTCATTTCCTGGTAAAGGAGGTTCCATTATTTATATGGCATTATGTCCTACCTTGGATATGCTGGAATTGGTCACCCATAACGCCGACACGCATGGAAAAGGTCTCTCCAGAATTCACATGAACATGAACAACGTGCTGGTGGTTAGGCGGGGAGGTACCTGGTCCTGAAGTGTTCTGGTTGTGAGGACTCGGTCCACGGGGTGACATCTGAGTTGTGTGGCCGTTTGGAGAGTACCTGTTTGGGGAACTGCCCCCTTGATGTTGGTGAACATGTCCATTAGTGTTGTGCAGAGAAGCCGCACTACCACTAGTGAGCCCAGGAACATTGTTTTGTGTTAAAATGGTGTTTGCATTGTTGGTGCCCCCTTGATCTTCACCTGAAATTGTAGAGGTTGTGCCCCCATGTTCTGCATTATCATTATGGACTCCTTGGTCTAGACCACACTCATTGAGAGCAGTAGCTGTGTCTCCATTACTATGATCACTATCATTCAATAGAGCTGTGCTTCCATTATCATTCACACTGTTATAGCCACTGTCAGTAACTTTGGAAGTCGTTTCACTGTCATTAACATTGCCACTATTTTGATCACTATCATTCACTAGCATCGGTGTCCCCTCATCACTACTGTCGCTTATCAGAGTCTTGCCCTCACTGTTACCAACTACTGTAGTGCCGCTTGGATTGTCGTTCAGAATGGTGGTTATCTCGCTGCCACTACTGTGGCCGTCGTCTTTGCCTAGGGTTGTGCAGGTATCATTGAGGATGGTTGTCATGTCAACATCGCCGTTATGGCCACTCCCACTGGGGTTACTTGTGCTGTTGTGAGTAGCCGTAGTGTCAGTAGAAGAGGGTAACAGGGATGTGTGTGCAATGCTGGGTTGGGTAAGGTGTGAGGTACAAGACTGCTGCGGGGAGGAGGGAGTTGTGTCACCAACAGTAGCCTCGGCGGCACCTGACGCAGCACTGGCTGCATCAGGCTCTCCATGTTCACCATGAATGCCATTTTTAATTTCGCTTGGAGTCAGACGTCCATTATCTTTAAGTGTCTCAAATGTAGTTGGGGCCATACCTGGGTTACAATTCTGGTTAGCATCGGACTCCGAGGCTTCTGATATCACGTCTTTTTCCATGACCTCAAGTTTTTCGTTCCTTTTCAGCACTCTCCTGAAATAAGCCAGAAAAAACGATAAGAGTGGAAGAAAATGTTACATTAACATTGATCAGTTATAACTTTCAAATGATTTATGAATGCACAACATGGCACATACCCGCTGCAATCCTAAACAAATATAGGCTTATTGATATTATACATCACATCTAATTGATCAATCATAGAATTCATTTACATTTGTACCATGTAATGTTCTGAATATGCATGTATTATGTTTGGCTAAAACAACACTATGAAGAAATGTGACCATTAGAATTCAGATACAAAATGCCCAATTGTACAATTATGAATATGAACACAAATATGGTAGATACCTTCAAACACCATTATTACTTAGATGGACAAAAAATTGAGGGAATTGTTAAGAGTTAGGTCTGAGCAATATCTGATGGTGTCAGTAAAATAAAGGTTGGAGATGAAATAGAGGACAAAAATATAGAATTTTGGAATCAATTTAACAACTTTCACACTAGAGACAGGCAGATAATGTAATGTCAATCACATGAGCTCAAAGATACAAAAAAAAAAACCCAAAAATGAACTAAGAATACACACTAAATTAACTTTATGTAAACTAAGAAATCTATAGAAGTAAACTTTCCACTGATATTACAACAGATTATAAATTCCATAAACCCTATATGTAGAGCAACAGAGCAAATGAAATCTGTCACAATTTCGGTTTTCTCCTTTCACACAATCGGTCTTTAGAACATCAATCAAAATCACAAAAACACTAGCGTTAAATACAGAATACATCAAGAGCTATACATTCTTATAGCACAGAATTAATTTGAATTAATGCAGAAATCTTTACATAGAGGCTAAAAATCTACATTTTGAGCCTTTCAGTTTTACTGTAAGCATTTTACCACAGTGTGTTTTACTATAGAATTCACAAAGATTTGTGACTTCATGATATCACAATCATAGCAATAAGCGAATTATTCTGAGACTTAAAAATTACAATCATTGTACAGTCTTCTCTTTTTACATTTGACTTCACAAGGAAAACATATTTGGTAGAGCCTTTTTAACACCTGGCCTTTCACCTACACATTACATAAAAGCCTGTGGACATTAAATAGCCATGTATTTGTTTTTAACACTTACTGTTAAATGACCTGTGAAAATGATTTAAAAGATTTCTTACATGATCCATTAAATTAAAATTTACCTGGAAGCACTGAAATAATGAGTACATGTAGCTTGACTGTGTCAAGATGATCACGAAATTCCCCTCAAGTTACATAGGATATGCTTTACCTATGTGTTAGGTATATTGTGCTCTGTTTAAATTTAGAACAACACTAATTAAGACTGGTTTGTCATTCTAGACAAGCCTTCCTCACTTTACCTTACATCAAAGTGAAAGATAACGCAATGTTTATCACGGAAGAAGAACATCAGTTTGATTAAATATAGGTAATTAAGATTATCAAATAGCAGTCTGGAGATAAATATTTCTAAAATATCCGTATCTAATTTTTTCGAGACTTTTTATAAACTGGGAGTGTAAAAAAAGACACCCTGCATACATGCGTATCTAGGGAAATTGTGATGGACAGCAATTTGGTCAAAGGTACCTCTAGCTATTCCTAATCTGTACCTGACTAATCTGTACAGAAAGTTACCATAATAAAGTATCATCAAGCACAGGCTGTACCTACAGGACTGCCGATAATCTTGACCAATTTGGAATGTGACAGCCAAATTAATGGACATGTAATAGGGAACTCACAAGGACATGAGGACATGCACATTATAGTGAATACATTAACACATTACTCAATCTCAAGTGGAAAACACCTTTAAATTAAAATTACATCACTAACTTATGATGACACGAACATGTTCATAATTTAGAAATTCCTATGTGAATTTAATCAAACTATCTAACCACCTGCTATGTCCTCAAGGTTTCCATATCAAACATGTTCTGACACTGGCCATTTACAGAGGCTATTTCAAAGCCCTTATACAACCTTTGTAAATATATATGATAAAGTGAAAACATTTCCAATTAGTCTTTCCATGATGACTTCAGAAACTCAAGTTAACACTTTTATATGCCTTTTCTGTATTAATTTTAACACCTGATGCTAGGCCAATGTATTTAGCAATTACATAAAAATAAAAGAGATGAACTTTTTCGAAAAATACTTTTTCAACAAGGAAATTCAGTGACAGGTTATGCTTCCCAATTTGGACAAAATTTAATTATGAAAAATAAAAAAGGGCAATAAGGGAATTATGATTCTTGTGCACTGCTCTCCTACTCGTTGAGATCTATCAACTAGGAAGTCTCATATTGATACCTCTTAGTAGTTTTAGTGTAATGCTCCTGACAACATTTAAGTATGAAAAATATCAAAAGACAATAACTCCTAAATTATGCAAAAAAGAGTGATGGTTCTAGTGCACTGCACTTCTCCTTGTTGAGATCTATCTACCTTTGAAGTTTCAAGTTGATATCTCTTAAGAGTTTTTGTGTAATGCTCCGAACAAAAGTATGACGGATGGATGGACATGCAGATGGTCAGAGGGACAAAGCCAAGACTATATGCTCTCCCTTTTGGGAGCATAAGAATATTAAAAGCACCATGTGGTTCAAAGATTACTGCCAACAAGCAGTATTGAAATTTTAAAATATGTGCTTAATTCAATAGATGGCAAATGCCCAACTTCTTAATTAAAAAAAATAATTTTTATCTTTATATAAGTATTGGTTCCATACAGTTAAGTGTTATGCCAGCCAAAAATAAAATTCTATACTGAAACTAATGATGGCACATATATAAATATCTTTGAAATTTCTGAGCATGAATCATGAAATTTATGTAAATTATTGAGAGAAATATTCCATGTGCTTTAAAACCAAATTCATACAGGTTTTTTAAGAGAAATAGTCATATGTCTGCAAAGCATCTTTCCCCACAAACTTTATAAAGAGAGTCATATACAAAAGACAACAGAAAGATAATCTCTACTTTAAGTTTATGGATGCGAGGACTTGCACACCACACGGAACCAAAAAAACGACAATGACCTGTCATCTATCAACAGGAAAACAGAGAAAATAATTGGAAATGATACATGTAGGTGTGGGAACATGATACATTAGTTTAGGGTCTGACAGCACCAATCCCTATCACCTGTCAACTTCCTCATCACAAAAACTAGGTGGTGGTAAACACTACACAAATCATCACCACAGACACTGTAAACAGTGGTGGTAAACACTACACAACTCCTCACCACAGACACTGTAAACAGTGGTGGTAAACATCACACAACTCCTCACCACAGACACTGTAAACAGTGGTGGTCTACATCACACAACTCCTCACCACAGACACTGTTAACAGTGGTGGTAAACATCACACAACTCCTCACCACAGACACTGTAAACAGTGGTGGTCTACATCACACTTCCCTCACCACAGACACTGTTAACAGTGGTGGTCTACATCACACAACTCCTCACCAGACACTGTAAACAGTGGTGGTCTACATCACACAACTCCTCACACAGACACTGTTAACAGTGGTGGTATCACACAATCACACAACTCCTTCCTCACAGACACTGTTAACAGTGGTGGTAAACATCACACAACTCCTCACCACAGACACTGTAAACAGTGGTGGTCTACATCACACAACTCCTCACCAGACACTGTAAACAGTGGTGGTCTACATCACACAACTCCTCACCAGACACTGTTAACAGTGGTGGTAAACATCACACAACTCCTCACCACAGACACTGTAAACAGTGGTGGTAAACATCACACAACTCCTCACCACAGACACTGTAAACAGTGGTGGTAAACATCACACAACTCCTCACCACAGACACTGTTAACAGTGAGGGCTACATCACACAACTCCTTCACCACTGTAAGCAGTGGTGCTACATCACACAACTCCTTTCAACACTGTTAACAGTGGTGGAAAACATCACACAACTCCTCACCACAGACACTGTTAACAGTGGGTGTCACACAGCAGACACTGTTAACAGTGGTGGATACATCACACAACTCCTCACCACAGACACTGTTAGTGGTGATTGGAGGTCACACAACTCCTCACCACAGGTGTGAGTCTACATTACACAACTCCTCACCACAGACACTGTTAACAGTGGTGGTCTACATCACACAACTCCTCACCACAGACACTGTAAGCAGTGGTGGTAAACATCACACACAACTCCTCACCACAGACACTGTTAACAGTGGTGGTAAACATCACACAACTACTCACCACAGACACTGTTAACAGTGAGGGCTAAAACAACTATTCACCAGTAGTTAGTTTGTGCTTCCAGTTTTCAAATTTGGAAGGAAAGAATTAGAGGATTGACAATAGAGTGAATGTACATTGGGTGTGAAAGCATAATGATGGGTGATATCACCATCATGATTGCACTGATGTATGGTGATTGGAGGTGATGGTGGTGTGAGTTGAGTGTATGGTGGTTGGAAGTGAAGGTGGTGTGAGTTGAGTGTATGGTGGTTGGAAGTGATGATGGTGTGAGTTGAGTGTAGGGTGGTTGGAAGTGAAGGTGGTGTGAGTTGAGTGAGCTGTGGTTGGAAGTGATGGTGGTGTGAGTTGAGTGTAGAGTGGTTGGAAGTGAAGGTGGTGTGAGTTGAGTGAGGGGTGATTGAAAGTGAAGGCGGTGTGAGTTGAGTGTATGGTGGTTGGAAGTGAAGGTGGTGTGAGTTGAGTGTATGGTGGTTGGAAGTGAAGGTGGTGTGAGATGAGTGTATGGTGGTTGGAAGTGATGGTGGTGTGAGTTGAGTGTATGGTGGTTGGAAGTGAAGGTGGTGTGAGTTGAGTGAGGGGTGGTTGGAAGTGATGGAGGTGTAAGTTGAGTGAGGGGTGGTTGGAAGTGATGGTGGTGTGAGTTGAGTGTATGGTGATTGGAAGTGATGGTGGTGTGAGTTGAGAGTAGAATGGTTGGAAGTGATGGTGGTGTGAGTTGAGTGAGGGGTGGTTGGAAGTGATGGTGGTGTGAGTTGAGGGTAGAGTGGTTGGAAGTGATAGTGGTGTGAGTTGAGTGTAGGGTGGTTTGAAGTGAAGGTGGTGTGAGTTGAGTGAGGGGTGGTTGGAAGTGATGGTGGTGTGAGTTGAGTGTATGGTGGTTAGAAGTGATGGAGGTGTGAGTTGTGTGTAGGGTGGTGATGGAGGTGTGAGTTGTGTGTAGGGTGGTTGGAAGTGAAGGTGGTGTGAGTTGAGTGTATGGTGGTTGGAAGTGATGGAGGTGTGAGTTGTGTGTAGGGTGGTTGGAAGTGAAGGTGGTGTGAGTTGAGTGTAGAGTGGTTGGAAGTGAAAGTGGTGTGAGTTTAGTGTAGGATGGTTGGAAGTGATGGTGGTGTGAGTTGAGTGTATGGTGGTTGGAAGTGAAGGTGGTGCGAGTTGAGTGAGGGGTGGTTGGAAGTGAAGGTGGTGTGAGTTGAGTGTAGAGTGGTTGGAAGTGATGGTGGTGCGAGTTGAGTGAGGGGTGGTTGGAAGTGAAGGTGATTGGAAGTGAAGGTGGTGCGAGTTGAGTGAGGGGTGGTTGGAAGTGATGGAGGTGTGAGTTGAGTGAGGGGTGATTGGAAGTGAAGGTTGTGTGAGTTGAGTGAAGGGTGGTTGGAAGTGATGGTGGTGTGAGTTGAGTGTAGAGTGGTTGGAAGTGAAGGTGGTGTGAGTTGAGTGAGGGGTGGTTGGAAGTGATGATGGTGTGAGTTGAGTGTAGTCTGGTTGGAAGTGAAGGTGGTGTGAGTTGAGTGTATGGTGGTTGGAAGTGAAGGTGGTGTGAGTTGAGTGTAGGGTGGTTGGAAGTGATAGTGGTGTGAGTTAAGTGTATAGTAGTTGGAAGTGATGATGGTGTGAGTTGAGTGTATGGTGGTTGGAAGTGAAGGTGGTGTGAGTTGAGTGTATGGTGGTTTGAAGTGAAGGTGGTGTGAGTTGAGTGTAGGGTGGTTGGAAGTGATGGAGGTGTGAGTTGAGTGAGGGGTGGTTGGAAGTGAAGGTTGTGTGAGTTGAGTGAAGGGAGGTTGGAAGTGATGGTGGTGTGAGTTGAGTGTAGGGTGGTTGGAAGTGAAGGTGATGTGAGTTGAGTGTATGGTGGTTGGAAGTGATGATGGTGTGAGTTGAGTGAGGGGTGGTTGGAAGTGAAGGTGGTTGGAAGTGAAGGTGGTGCGAGTTGAGTGAAGGGTGGTTGGAAGTGATGGTGGTGTGAGTTGAGTGTAGAGTGGTTGGAAGTGAAGGTGGTGTGAGTTGAGTGAGGGGTGGTTGGAAGTGATGATGGTGTGAGTTGAGTGTAGTCTGGTTGGAAGTGCAGGTGGTGTGAGTTGAGTGTATGGTGGTTGGAAGTGAAGGTGGTGTGAGTTGAGTGTATGGTGGTTGGAAGTGATAGTGGTGTGAGTTAAGTGTATAGTAGTTGGAAGTGATGATGGTGTGAGTTGAGTGTATGGTGGTTGGAAGTGAAGGTGGTGTGAGTTGAGTGTATGGTGGTTTGAAGTGAAGGTGGTGTGAGTTGAGTGTAGGGTGGTTGGAAGTGATGGAGGTGTGAGTTGAGTGAGGGGTGGTTGGAAGTGAAGGTTGTGTGAGTTGAGTGAAGGGAGGTTGGAAGTGATGGTGGTGTGAGTTGAGTGTAGGGTGGTTGGAAGTGAAGGTGGTGTGAGTTGAGTGAGGGGTGGTTGGAAGTGATGATGGTGTGAGTTGAGTGAAGGGTGGTTGGAAGTGAAGGTGGTTTGAGGTGGTTACATGGTGATTGGAAGTGATGGTGTAGGTTGTTGGTTTATGAGCTAGTGTTGAGATGGTAGTTGTTGAGATCATTGCAGTAAGGGTATAGTGATTGAAAGTAACTGGTAGGGTTGGGTTTTAAATTGTATGGACAGTGGTGGGAGGATATGTGATATAAAGCTCATTGGAATGGGTGGTGTTCCGATGGGAAGGGATTTCGTAATGAGGCTAACTATAGGAAGTCACTGTAGATGATGTAGAGTGGTTGTAGGTGCTTCGAGTGTGGGTGGTTGAGATCAAGGTGGTGTGACTAGCTGGTGTAGGACTGAGCTAAGGACAAAATCACAGTGGATGATGATAGGGATCATGGTAGTAATGATTATAAGTAGTTACTTACTGGTACAATGGTAGAGTTAGGGGCAAAGTTGCAGTGGAGTGTGATAGTGCAGACTGGTGGATGGTATAGTGACAGTGGTTGTTGGTGATTGGTGTTCGAATGGGATGGAGTTGTGATGGGAATTGTGGTGGTAAGGGTATAGTGAGCATTTGTAGGTGGTAGGAGTAGAAAGTCGTGGTTGTGGTTTTGGAAATGGTGGTAGCGAGGTTTTATAGTGATGAGTGGTTGTAGCTGATGGAGAAATGGAGTAGGGTCATGGTGTTGATGGAAAGGGCATAAAGGTGAGTGGTCGTCAATAAAGGGGAAGGTATAATGGTACATATGGAAAGATGGTTTTGATGGGTGGTATATAAAGGGGTTGTAACTTGAGAAGTTGTTGAGACTTGGTGTATTTACAATAAGTACAGCTGGTGCTGAACAAAGGTTATGATATTGTATGATTATTACAGTTAGGAGAGCTGATTAAGAAGTTGTGAGCCTCATATTTAAGGGGTTGACAGTTGACCGACATATTGCATCAATTTCAACATAATCCCCTCAACATCTATACACTTCTGATGTTCAAGGTCTATATGCCACTTTTAAACAAGCCTTTTTCTGGACCATTCAGAAAGTCCTCCACTGAATGTATGAAGTCATCACCTGACCGGAAGTGGGGACTAGAAATGGCCTTTTTTAATTTCAGAAATATATTAAAAGTCTGATGTAGCGTGATTGAGCGAATAAGCGGATGCTTAATCAATTCAAAGCCAAAATCATTAACAGCAGCCATGGCAATGACAGACTTGTGAACAGAGGCATTGTCCTGGTGGAACAACACACCTTTAATGAGTTTTCTGTAGCACTTGAATTTAATATTTTTTCCTAACTGCCTAAGAAGTGATGCTTAATATGTACTTCAGATTGTTTGTCCCTTTTGTACATAATCTACCATTAGAATTCCATCAGCATCCCAGAAAACAGAACTAGGCCATTATCTTTCCAGCTCACATGTTGCTATCATATCAGTATGGATATCCTTAGGTGTTCTTTCAGTGATTTTGTCCATTTTGCAAAAGTCATTTTCCTTGTTTACTTTAGAGTGCTACCTCTTTGACACAAACTGACCAAATGACACCAGTCTTCGAGTACCCAGCCTTAAATAGTCACGGAATAGTAGAGCTAAAAGAGGACATCCCTATATAACTTCTTCCATAAATGGCTCACAATTTATCAAACAGCCCCTGTATATAGTGGTTTAAGTGGTCTTGGTCTAGTTTACTTTATTTTTGGTTATACGGCATTACTGGTGGTTGGAGTATGTGATGGTTATGATTGTAGTGATTTGGCTACTGTTTACAATGCATGGCATTTAAAACATTGTTTTAACATAGTGGTTTAGCTGTTGTAGACACTCAATCCAAATTAAGAATTCTTAATACATGTACATTTGATCTAATGTATGAAAATATACTTTGATATCACAGAAATCCAATTACCTGCATAATAACAAAAATAGACCTTTTGATACACAATCTGATATAAAATTAAGACTAAAGAAACATTATTTCAACACTTGATCTACAGAACATAACATTTAATATATACGTAAGGTCACAGCACTCAGAAACCCAGTGTGTAATTATGATACACAAGCATGGCCATGAGAAAGAGTATATGTTCTGGCATATACATATATAAACAGTATAATCTACAACACAAGAAACGTTAACTGTCAGGGACCAGTCATGCATTTAGTAGGTCAGTCAGCCTTTGTGGTGGTGATGTTTGTAAATACTCTTATCACTCCCAGTGTAATAATGGCAATATCTTAAAGTCTCCATAATTTACTTATCTATATATCTTAATCATTATAAACTTCAAATATTGACTTACTGTTCTTTTCTTTATTTCTTTTATGATGTACTTTACTAATATATTTCCGTAAGCCCATATTTTAATATATTGGATCCAACAGATGTAAGAAAAATGCAATTCAGCAAGTTTTCATAAAATGCTACATTCACAATTTTTTCAATTCACAATTTAAAAGTTTCACTGATGACAACTATACAGTTATATCTATTGACCGAGTATTACAAACAGTCTATGTGATGAGTGATCAAATATTAAAGTATTTGTCAATCATAAAAAAAATGTATTATAATTCAACATTTTTCCAAGGACCACATCGTTAAACATTTAGGCAACATGAAGAAAATTCAGTTAAAATGTTTTCAGTCAATTTGTTTGTGACTTACATATTACATGCAAAATTCAATGAAATAAATTTTCATAATTACTGATTTATGTAATTACTTAAAACATTCAACAGTCACACAAGCAACACTTACATAATGTCTATAAGGTTACCTAAGTCATAATCTTTATGTAACAGTACAATGTAAATACCAAAAATATACAATTTCCTGATATATATATACAACCACTGAGAAAATGTAACTAGATAACATCAAACATGGGCTTTTAAATATGACCATATGGTAAACTCTGTACTTACCTTATAACCATGATAAAAAGTGGTTAGATTCTTGGTAAATAACACAAGGAAAATCTACATCTCACCACTTTGACACATTTTTTACGAAATAATGAATTAATTATTTAAAAAAAAAAATAGAACAATGTATCTACAGCAAATGAATATCCATCTGTTCTTGTGTAACATCACACTTGCTTAAGCCTGTTCTCCCACGCAATATGCAAGCAATCTATTACTGTAATACTCTGCAGCTAATTCTAGTGTTGTATGGGACCGTCAGGCTAAAATAATCAATACCACGTCGTCGAAAAATCTCTCCATTCATGAACATACGGTAATCATTCCTACATGCTGTTTACATTCACACATGTGTTCCTTGACAATATATACTACTAGTTTAGAAATAACAAAAGCTCTTACAATTCATATCATCATTATTGCAGAAAAGACAAAATACTATAAAATAAAAAAGTAAACAAATCCGAAATCACAATATTGACAAATGTCATCATGAGTTTATGAAATATTAACATTACACTAGCTGCCTTAAGATGTCTTTTTTATCTTATTTTCTAATTTTGTTTTTATAACTGTCAAGTTTCGTATTACCATGATTGTTGCATATATTTATATTCTGAGATTTCAAACGTTCTACAAGAAGCCGAGTGTAAGAAAATGAGCGGTCGGCAGAATGCCACATATGTCGTTCTGTAGCAGATTATCGGAGAATAATTGTACACATTAAATTAGACGGACAGCCCTAATAATGCGTACACTTTCTGCATTAAATCGGATAAAATGTCAGAAAGAGCATGCGATGCAAATAGTCATTGAAGACACAGTGAAAATTAATAAAAAGCTTTATAAATTATAGCGAAAACTCGACTCAACGTGTCAACAGCTGAGTGTAGTTAAAAGCGGTATTGTCAGTCAAAGCAGTATTGTATAGTAATGTGCAATCACTGAATATATATATGACACCATTGCAGTTGTATATTTCTAAAAATAAATGCATATCAAACAAATTGCAAGCCAAATATAATACAAAATTAAATTACACTCGTTACCTCAAGTATCAATCAGCCATTTTGAATATTTTAGAGGAAATTAAAGCTTTGCATTCTGGGATATGACCATTTTGACATTTCCCAGGTCTCATCGGATTTTATTATCTCTTTACATGGTAAACGCCCTTTGATCCGAAGGGAACCATGCGGTTTTGTTTACATTTTGGGAGTAAACAGTGTGTTTACAACAATACACACGTTTATCATGATCTTTACATGACCTTTGTACAGTACTCGACCAACATCCATAGTAAGAATAATGAATAATGAAAGTATATCGATGATTAATTAGTTGACGCCTATATCAATTAAGGATACTGAAACAAAAAGGTTCGAAAGTTAAAATTGATTTTTTTTTCACATGTACGTAGTGATATTAGAGGAAAGGTAATGACTGTGCATTGTTTATGACTTTACAATATTTGGGAAAATGTGTAGATTTATTAATTACACGCATATTGCTGCTCGACTGTATGCTTTTACTGATTAACATGTTCTTTATAACACTTTTCCGTGTTTTTTTCATTCATTCATTAATCCGATTCGAGCCACTTGCGACAGGTCAAGCCCCGTGATAAGTTTCCATTGGGTATACAGAATTCCCGTGTGATGTTATACATTGTAGTTGACCTGTCATAGGTCCTGTAATGACACAGATAACTATTTAAAAAACTATTGTAAAGAGAGTTATGCTTATGGATAAAAAAAAATGGAAAAGAGAGAAATTTGACGGGAAAATGAAGTAGACAAATTAACATCGATATAAAATGCTAACAAAAATCTCTATCTTAACATTTTATATATTCTGTTCGTTTGATTAAAAGTTTGTTTGGCACCTTGTTACACACTATAATATTGTTTCAGAAATTAAATCATCACAAGAAGTGTTTTTGTCTAACTCTTTGTTATCATATTGTTACATGGTTTGTTCGCATATACTATATACGTGTATCTGCTTTCGAGAGGTTTCAACTTAATAAATTCACAAACATTTCTTTTACTTTCTGGTCTTCATCGTATATTAACGTATCAATATGCACATTAGATAGATATATTTAAATAAATAGCATATTCTAGGCAGCCAAATCAATTTTATTGTTTATTCAGAAATGAGCACAACAGAATCACCAGACAAAGCAACGACCAT